GAGGGGATGTGAAAGAGACATTATCAATTGGTTGCCCCCCACACATGCCCTAACCAGGGCCGGGGATGGAGCCTGCAACTGAGGTATGTGCCCTTGGCCAGAATCAAACCTGGGACCCTTCAGTCCACAGGCTGACGCTCTAACCACTGAGCAAAACCAGCTAGGGCTGTAATCACTGGAGTTTTAAAAATGTATCCGTGCACATTTGTATGATAAAAGTTTTAAAGGTAATTAAAGATCAGGCAGTAGGAAGTGGCTTTAAACACAGGGAAGAGTACTATCTTAGAGAGGAGGAAGTACTAAAGAAGGCCCCGTGGGACCACAACAACCTTAGCAGACAACAGTACTTTCCACACTGCCCACTGCCAAGCCTGAACTCAAATACTAGTTCAGCCATGTGGTCACAAGGACCTTTGAACATCATGCAATCCTTCCACTTTCTTAGGTCATCTAGGTTTTCTTTCTAGATTAACCCTGACTACTGCAAGGCTGGGTTGATGGGTCTCATGAAAACCTGTGCCCTTTGAGCTCTTGTGGTCTATTCTCAAAGACGTCTCTGAGGAGCTCTGCTTCTGCAATTACAAGAAAGCTGAAATTAAGGACAGTCTACCATCTCAGCTCTAGGAAGAACCATAAAAATACGTGAAGTGTCAGGAAATATATAGTGACATCCTCTGAGGAACTGGCCTGCCTCTTCCTCCAAGTCAGTGCACAGCCTGTCTTCACCATGATTCTCTGGTTGTGGGGGTTGTCAGAGATATTAGACAGAAGGTGACAGACAACTAATGTAACCTGTAGGATGCTCGAGTCACACTATGTTCCAAGATTAGTCATTTAGTGAAGATTCCAGGAGGAACATACTCCTGATCCTATTTTGCTTTAATGTGGAAGTTAGAGGCTAAATTTATTTCTCCACAAATCCTACTGTTCCATTCAATTCAGTCATGTTTCCAAGTCCTCTAGAAATCAGTCATGGAACAAAGGAAGGAATAAAACAAAGGAAGTCACCTGGTCCTTAATCATGTTCTTCTGTCACTGGGAAATGGCCAGTAACAAAGATGCTGTGTCTTTAGTTTCTTCTTGAGCTGCCCTAAATTTCTGGTTAGAAATCTTAGTCTCTGGTCAGTGGTGTCCCCACAAACGACAACATCCAGATCCTGAAACCTCCTCCTCAGGTCACCTGATATATCTTGTTCCTCCAGCCAGGACCTGTGGACTGAAAAGTAAATTTACTTTGAGTGTACATTTCCTCTGGGCCCTGATGTTGTCACTGCTACTGTCATTCAGCTGATTTCAAGGCCATCTGTCCCTTTATTTGAATCTCCAGAGGCTATTACACTCCGGAGCAATAAACAGTAAGATTCTGAAGGCGTGGGCAGTATGTGTTTCTTCCGTGAAGTGGAAGTGGGGTGATTGTGAAAGGGGAGATGGGAAAGGAGAACCAGCACAATGCAATGCTGCTGCAGCAGGGGACTTCTCACACAGGTCAATTATTGGACAGAGACATATAAAAGGTGAAGATCTGGACACCTATTTTTTCTTTTTAATCCTCACCTGAGGCATGAGGATATTTTTTCCAATGAACTCTTATGAGCTACTCTGTTTCCCATGATTTTATTATGAAAAATTTCAAATATATAGCAAAGTTTAAAGATTTACACTTGATCACCTGTATGCCTACCACATAGATTTTATCATGGCTTTGTTTCCTTTATTATATATCTATCTATATGTGACTTCTCTACTCATCATTAATCCATCTTTAGTCTTTAAGATGGGGAGGAAATATGTCTGTGCTCATTTACCATGTGACCCAGAAATCTCACTCCAGCTTTATATCGGAGAAGTGAAACATACCAACACAAAAACTTGAACACAGATGTTATAGCAGCATTATTTATAATAGCCTAAAATGTGGAAACAACCCAAATATCCACTAGCTGATGAAGGGATAAACAAAATGTGCCGTATCTACCCAATAGAACGGTATTCAGGTATAAAAAGGAATACAGGCTAACACATGTATAAACCTCTAAAACATGCTAAGTGAAAGAAGCCAGTTACAAAAGACCATAGTATATGACTGTATTTATATGAAACGTCCAAAATAGGCAAATCTATAGAGACCACAAAGAAAGCAGTTGCTTAGAAATGGGGGGAAATGGAAGGACAGAGTGGCAACTAGAGGGCGCAGGGTTTCTTTGTGAGGCGATGAAATGTTCTAGAATTGACTGTACTGATGGTTGCACATAACCTTTCGGTGCACCGGGATTATGCTCAACCAACCGAGCCACACCGGCCAGGGCTGATGCAGGCCACCTTTGAGTCAGGTTTTACTCAACCAACCAAGCAAACGGTCAAAAGCACTCTAACTGAGCTCACACTTTAAACCCAGAGCCAACTCATGGTAAGCCCATATTATTAAATTTGCTTGACCCAAAGTTATATTCTACCGTGGTCCCGCAAATATTTCCCAGATTTCTACCAAACATATAAGCAACATATAAAGAGCCCAATACTTCATGACTACACCGGGTTTATCCAAAGAATGCAAAGTAGGTTAAAATGTGTTTAATTTTCTAAGCAACGTCATTTACCTTGCGAAGTGATCGCCCTGATAAGCCTGCCTCCGGCCTGACACCACATAGTTATTACGATACTACGGGCCATGTTCCCTATGCCCTACTTGACATCCCAGTGACCGTTTTTATAACTGTCAACCTGTACTTCCTAATCCCTTCCGCAGAGATATGGGACACGTCACGGAATTTGTGTCATCTTTGCCCAGGGCCCGGCTAATTTCTGCACAGATCCAACTTTAGGCCATGCGCTGCTGCAAAGGAGCAGCCCCAGAGCTTTGGCGCCCCCTCCCCCGTTCCCTTCCCCAAAGCTCCTCCGTTGACACTGCCCCTTTTGCCGGCCACTGAACAACCGTGTTCCCCGTTTTCCTCCACCCCAACCGTAACGAGAGCTTTCTAATCCTGCTCTCTGATCAAGGCGACCCTCAACGGGTCTCTAACTCCTACACGGGCCTCCAAGGCCGCTTCCTCCACTAAGCGCCCTCCGCCCGGACCGCTCAGGGCAAGAGCCGGCTCCCCTTTAACTGCTGGGGTTCTGCTCGGGCCGGGGTCCCTTCCGTGGGACTTACAGCCTGAGCTGACCGCGTCCGCTCAGCTTCTCTCCAGCCTTCGGCTCAGAGGCCTGGGCGTCGGGCACCGCGTCTGCCCATCCCGAGGGCACCTCCGGCTGGCTCGAGCTTCCGAGCAGCTAAGCAGTTCGTGTGGCGGCCTGGTCAGCGTTTCACAGTCGGAGCCTGGAAACGGGGTGACACGGGTCGCTCTCAGCGGCTTCGCACCGCTGTGAGCCTTCCCGGGGAAAGTGAGGGGAAGAGAGATCACGCCTGAGGCAAAGCAGAGCGTCCGACGGCGGCGGCTGCGGCTCCGGGTAAACAGGCGCCAATCGGCGCGGCAATTCTACGTCACAGGGGGCGGGGCGCGACCCGGTTCGCCGACGCGGGGACGGCGCGCGCTGACCCTCGTCGGCCGCCGTCCGTCCAGCTTCGGCGGGTCCCGTGGGGGGCGCCGGTGGGG